CGCTCTCTCTTGCTCTCGCTGGCTTTCTACTTAGCCCTGATTGTGCTGGTACTCATTATGTAGACCAGGTGTTTGAATTTAAGAGATCCACTTGCCTCTGCCTCCCGAGTGCTGGAATTAAAGGTGTGTGCCACCACCACCCAGCATGTGCCCTCTTTATTTTTACCAGATAATAACTTCTCATGTATTCATGAGCATATCTGGAGTCTACTAATATCGCTTTCATTCCAGCACTTAGGAAGTAGAAGCAAGATGCTCAAGGGTAAAGGTCATCCTTGATTACATAGCTAGTTCAAGGCCAACATGAGAATTCAAAACAAAATAAAACAAAACAAAGGGGCTAGAGAGCTGGCCCAATACTTAAGGGTACTTACTGTTTTTCAGGCAGCTCACAACCACCTATAATTCCACCTCCAGGGAATCTGACACCCTCTTCTGGCCTGCACAGACATATAGCACACACAGAGAGACACATGAACCCTAATAACTTTAAATTTTTAATATTTTTAAGAACAAACAATATTTTAGGTACAGAGCTATGGGTCAGTCTCACTGAGTGAGAGAGGCTTTGTTTTTACTCCTGGATAATTCTGTGGTGGTTTCTTAGGGACGACCTGGCCCAGCTGCCCTTCCTGACCATGTGCATCAAGGAGAGCCTGCGGCTGCACCCCCCAGTCTTATTAATCTCCCGCTGCTGTTCCCAGGACGTTATGCTGCCAGATGGCCGTGTCATCCCCAAAGGTGCCCTCAGTATCAGTGGGAAGAGGGGCCTGGGTAGGATGGTGGTCTCCATGGACCTGTCCTAACTCTCTCCTTACTCAACAGGGAACATCTGTGTCATCAGCATTTTCGGGGTTCACCACAACCCTTCAGTCTGGCCAGACCCTGAGGTGTGACCCTACCCTTTCCCCAACTCTGGGACCTGGGGAAGAGGCACAAGCCTACCAGGGAAACCAGAGCTACCATCCTGGAGATGGGGAAGAGAGACACTACCCACTAGCCTAGTCTTTCTTGGCCTACAGGTCTACAACCCCTTCAGATTTGACCCAGAAAACCCACAGAAGAGGTCACCTTTGGCTTTTATTCCCTTCTCAGCGGGGCCCAGGTGAGTTAGTGGTCTTGGGTGAGGGGGAGGCGGGAATCCGGTTCTGACGGTGGGACAATTGGGTGGATGAGGATTCTGTGTCTCCTCCCCGACCTTTGCCTGAGTTATGTGCAAAGGTCTACAGAGCCCGCGGTGGCAAGGTCAAAGGCTGATGCTCTGTACCCAGTCATGACCTGGTCTGCACTGGGCGCTGGGACTAGGCCAAGTCCCAGAAATGCGGACGCCCACGTTGGGTCCCAGGCACATCGGTGCCCCTTGGCCCTCTTGACCCTGCGCAGCCCGGACCGGGCCAGGTTGGGTCCGAGGACTCCTGGCTGGGTCCCCGCGCAGTCAGAGTCCTCACCCCATCCTTCCGCAGGAACTGCATAGGACAGACTTTCGCCATGAGCGAGATGAAGGTGGCACTGGCACTGACACTGCTGCGCTTCCGCGTCCTGCCAGATGACAAGGAGCCGCGCCGGAAGCCGGAGCTGATCCTGCGCGCGGAGGGCGGGCTGTGGCTGCGGGTGGAGCCGCTGAGCCGGGTCGCACAGTAAACCCACCGCCGCCTTGGGACCTCCTCACCCATGCTCCTACCTCTTCAGATCTCTGAATAAACAGAACTGTCTCCTGTTCCTTGAGTGGCTGTGAGCATCAGATCAGAATTTTATCACAAGATCCTCAATGCCTCCTGGGTGGTCTCCGAGGATCTCCTTGCTGATGAAACTTCTACGGAAAGACTTTATCTTGTGAGCCACCACAGATGTTTAAGCAGGAGAGGGGAGCAGGTTTTCCGGCACAGTTGAGGCTCTGTGGTCATTGAGGCAAACCCTTATATTCACTATGTTTCCCCCTTTAGAGCCATATCCTCCTGCTTCTGTCCTTCTAGTACGACACTACACTAGACCTGGCCTGTTACATATGAAGAGATAGTTGTAGAATCTGAGGCAGATTGTTCCTTAAGCGAGGGGAATCTCGGAACCCCTAAGGACAGTTTTATATAAGTTTCAGGCCTTGTGATGAATAAAGCAGCTAAATCACACTGACCCACTCCCCAGGTTCCTTTGGCCTGTTCAACGGTAGTGCAGTTGTCCCTGGAGCCTCCCACTTCCTGCAGAAGGCTCTCACAAATTTCCCTTATCTAATCACACTGGGCTTTGACTTTCAAATTCTCCCATAACGAGATCATTAAAATTGAGTTTCTGAGTTGGAGGCCAAGCTGGTCCACAAAGTGAGTTCCAGGGCAGCCAAGGCTACACAGAAAACTTGTCTCTAAAAACAAAACAAAACTGAGTTTCTGTTGAGCATGGTCACACAACTATACTCCCAGTACTTGAAAGACTGAAGCAGGAGGATGTTGGAGACCAAAGGTTGAAGTCAACTTGTGCTACTCAGTGAAATACTGTCTCAAAGAGGAGTGGAGGGCGGTAGTCTGTTGGTAAAATGCCTAGCATGCAGGATGCACCCCATAATCTAGGCATGGTGTTAACAAGCCTAAAATTTAGCACTTGAGAGTTGGAGGCAGGAGGATCAGGAATTCTAGGTGATCCTTGGCTACACAAGTTCTAAGGTAGCCGGGGATATATGAGACACTGCCTCAAAAAACATTATTTAAATTTTTTTTCTGTTCTGTTGTGGGAAATGGCTTCAGAACAAAAATCTTCAAGTCCATTTTATTTTTAGCTTTTACATTTAAATTGTCTCTGTTTTTTCTTTGGTTTTGGTCTGGTTTGGTTTGACTTTTTAGGAGTGTCATGCTGGGGTTGGCCCCAGGGCTTAGCCAATGAGAGGCAAGTGCTCCCCACTGAGCCACCCTCCCAGCTGAGCCTGTACTGTATTGCCTTTTCATGTAATATTCCCTTAAAGAATTGGAACAGTATTCAGGTGTGAGCTTTGCAAACAGCTAGAAATTTAACCCGTATAACTTAGCTGACCCTGAATTGATGCCAGTCTCAAATGAGATTTTATTTGTTTACAAGTATTTGAGACAGGGTTTCACTATAAACCTAGCTAGTCTGGTACTTGCAATGGAGAGCAGGCTGGCCTCAAACTCACAGAGGTCGTCTGTATCTGCTTCCCTAGTATTGGGATTAAAGTTGTGTGCCGGCACAACTTTAATTAAAGAAATAACACCCGGCAGTTACTTCTTTACTTTAAATTACATTTATTTATTATTGGGGGGAGGCATATACATGCCACAATGTATATGTGGAGGTCAGAGGACAGCTTCTGGGAGTCACACACAACATTCCCAAGTGAATCTAACTCAAAGTTCACCTATATTTGCTCAAAGTCTAAGCTCTTTCATGCTATGTAATGTGACCCTTGGGTTCTGATGTGGGAGAACTTTGGGTTAGATTCACTTGGGAATGTTGTGTGTCCTTTGTATGAGAGGGGAATTAGAAAATGGGTACTTTGGTAGTCACTGGGTGGACTGTTTCAGTGACTGATATTGTTACTTTTTGGCCACCATAATCATTATTCCCATAATATATAACTATATATACATATATATTTTTGAGATTATAATGTAATTATAACACTTCTCTTTTTCCTTTGTTATTCCAAACCCTTCCATGTGTCTTCTCCCACTCTCCATCAAATTCATGGCCTCTTTTTTCATTAATTGTTATTGTGTGCGTATATATATACACATATCCATACACACACACACACACACACATTCCTAAATATAATATGCTAAGTCTGGATAGTTACTTGTATGTATGTTTTCAAGGCTGACCATTCTGTTAGATCTAGTAGTGCAAACCTTTAATCCTAATGCTCAGGAAACTGAGGCACATGGATCTCTGTGAATTTCAAGGTTAGCTTAGTCTACATAGCAAGTTCTAGGACAGCCAGGACTATGTAGAGAGACCCTGTCTCAAAAAAATTTTTTTTATTCTATGTGTTGAGTGTTTTGCTTGTATGAGTGCACTGCATACATAAGTATAGGTGTATACAGAGTCCAGTAGAAGGTATTGGATCTCCAGGAACTAGAGTTACAGGCAATTGTAAGCTGCCACGGTGGTCCTGAGACTAGTACCCTGATCCTCTGCCATGGCAGCACGTGCTCTTAACTACCGAGTTGTCTTGGGGAATATATTTAATCTCAGTCAAGAACCTCTCCCCTACCTTTGATTATTCAATTCCCAGAAAAAAAGACATGGCCGACCTTTATAATAAGCCTTTATCAGCACTAAAGCTGGGCAGATACTACTCTCTGTTATTAGAATCTGCTTTCTTATCAATAACCCTGAGTTATTACTTACTATGTTTCATCTGGGCTGCTCTTAGTTTCAATTGGTTAGCCCTCATGTCCATGATTATTTCAAGGTTCTTGTTTTGTTTTCTTGGTTTTTTTGTTTGTTTGTTTGTTTGTTTTTTGAGACAGGGTTTCTCTGTGTAGCCCTGGCTGTCCTGGAACTCACTCTGTAGACCAGGCTGGCTTTGAACTCAGAAATCCACCTGCCTCTGCCTCCCAACTGCTGGGATTAAAGGTGTGTGCCACCACTGCCC